CCTCTCATAAACTCCAAATCACCTCCTAGACATCTTGTTCGGACATACCATACCCAATTCAAACTCACCTCCTCCTCCTGCCTAAACTTGCTCATTTACTGTGCCACATCTCAGGGGATAGCACCCCCACCCAGCCCTCTAATTACCCGGGTCAGACACCTGAGTCTCACCTGAGACTTTTACCAGTTTCCTTCATACCCTCAGTTCTCATTCACAAAGTCCTCTCAATATTTACCTTCTTAATATCTCTGTGATGAGCTACTTAAAAAAGAAAAAGATGGAAAACTTGATGACTATTAATACTTAAAAAACAAACAAACAAATAAAAATATCTCTCAGCTCTACCCCCTCTTTCCACTCGCCATGCTGGATCACTGCAGTACCTTCCCAGTTCACATCCCTGCCTCGTCCTCTCCTGGCCCTTCTCCAAACAGCCCCTAGACCTTTTCAAAATGCACATCTCCTTAAAAACCTGCATTCGCTTTAGAATAAAATTATATTCTCAGCCTAGAATACCAAGCTCTTCAGGACCCAGCCCTGGTCAATCACTCTAACCCCTCAGTGTCTGAGATTCAGCATTCTAGTTAATATCCTCTTTACTTACTGAGAAGACCCATGGAACTTCACTGAGATGTTTTCTTTCCCATGAAGAAGGGAGAAGCCTAGCACAGTATTCCCCTGGAATCATTCACAACTCTAGCTTCTAAGCATTTGGAATTCCGTTCATTCCTTTAGGGTTCTGTGCCCTAAAACCACCCCTCAAAAATGACAAAACAAATATATTGTGCATTTTCTCATATGAGTCAGGCCTTTTATCTCATTGAACCCTCACAATTCTGTGGAAAACATCATTTTAATTTCACAAATGAGAAAACTGAGACCTAGAACAATTAAATATTAAATAATCTAAGCAAAGTCATACCATTAGTAAGACAGAGAAAGGGATTCAAACTCAGATTACCCAAGAAATTACCTCATGCCTGTTTATTCAGTCAAACCAATTTCTCGTAATCCAAAAAGAATAATGTGAAAACAGACTAATATTTGGTAAGTGCTTAATGTTTATAAACTATTTTACATAAGGCATCTCATTTTTCCCTTACAGTATTTTCAAATAAACAGACCAAATCCAAGAAGGTAGTTTAGGCAAAGTCACACAGCTAGAAAGTAGCTTTGAATTTCCCTACCTCCACCCTTTAAAAAAAAATTCTTTTTTTATGAGACAGGGTCTTGCTCTATCACTTAGGCTGCTAGAATGCAGTGGTGTGATTCATCATAGTTCACTGCAGCCTTGAACTCCTGGGCTCAAGCAATCCTCCCGCCCCAACCTCCTGAGTAGCTGGGACTACAGGCATGCACCACTGCACCAGGTTAATTTTTGTAAATTTTTGGTAGAGGCAGAGTCTCACTATGTAGCCCAGGCTGGTCTCAAATCCCTGGCCTCAAGCAATTCTCCTGCCTTGGCTTGTCCAATTGCTGAGATCACAGGTGTTAACCACTGCACCCCACCCACCTCCACCCTTATTAGCTGCTACCTAACACCAATAAACAGCATTTTACAACTGAAGAAACAGGTCCAGTCCAGAGTCACACATCTTATCAGAGGCAAAGTCAGGATTAGGATCCAGGTTTTCTAACTCTACTTGGCTGGGCAAACGTTGTTATAGTCTCCGAGTGCTAACAGAATTGTGGAACCCTGACTTTTTCCTATCTATAATAATTCGCTAAAACTGAAATTGGATTCCAGTGGTAGATGGATGGTGGTACACTACTTCTGAAGGGGTAAACTAACCTCCAAAGGGTTTCAGCTCTGGCTCCAGGTGGACTTCTTTGGTATCCCTCTGCGATACTCAGCTGATACTCTGCTGATGCTCACCTGGGGCATGGTCCTCCCTTAATCCATTTTTCCAACAGCCTCTGCTCTTAGTGCATCCACTGAATGAGGCACTCTGCTTTAGCACACATCTGACTTTCCCCTGCCTCCTTACAGTTTTCTCTTCAGTAATAAGGCCCCATCTGTTCACCCAGCTCCAACTGCCTTCCCTGATGGTTTAGCCAGGATCAAATCCCCTCTGCCATGACTCTTAAAGTCCTGTTGGTTCTTCCCTAAATGCCATCTGTTTTACTCACTCCCCCATCCTAGCCTTCCCTTCCTGGATGTTACCAACTCAAGGATGACAGAGCTGCTTTCTCTCAGGCTCTGTCTCTTTGGTTTGAATTAGGTTCATAGCAAATGTCCCCTTGGTTACTTCTTTCTTGGCCACAAGTTAATTATTCCCATATATTGAGGCATTCTCCCCAGAATGTATTGGCTGATATAAAAAACATCTGGAGAAGGTGATAAATGAAATGTGTAGATGAACTAGACCATCTAGCCAACACCAGAATGTTTAGTGGAGAAATATTCAGGAAAGATGCTACCTACAAGGCACCTCATTACCAATGAGGCCCAAGATGCTGAGCAGAGGGTTGAAAGAAGAGCAGGAGGCCAGGAATGGTGGATCACGCCTGTAATCCCAGCACTTTGGGAGGCCGAGGCAGGCCTGGAAGGCATAAGTTGCAATGAGCTGTGATCGTGCCATTGCACTCCAGCCTGGGCAACAAGAATGAAACTCCATCTCAAAAAAAAGAAGAAAGACAACAGAAAAGACAGAAAGAGAAAAGACAAAGACAAGGAAGGAAGGAAGAAAGGGGGAAAAAAAGGAGGGAGGGAGGAAGGGAGGGAATACCGAAACCAGCTCGACTGTGGAGTCCCCCAACCCAGGCAACGCTGAAGGAATTAAGGAGCAAACACCCAAATAGGACAGCAAAGTGGAAACAACCTTCCCAGCTGAGAGCCTCAGGGGCTGACAGCGTTCCAGGCTGAGGGCCTCGGGCAAATTCTGACCCACGTATTTATTCTCTCTGAGCAGGTGATTATTATTAACAAACAGGTGTTCTGTGTTTTCTCATAGAACCAAGATAAACTAGGTAGGCAGCTGGTGCCTGCCTACCACTGATCAAAGACAAACTAGAAAGTATTCCCCGCGAGGAAGCCACGGAAGCCACGGGGGCAGGTCACTTATCCTGTGGTTACAGAATTGTTTCAATCTGTGTATGATACACATATACTGTTTTGCTACTTTAGAATGCCCCAAGTGGTTTTCCACTTGGGGAGGGGGGCGGCTAGGTTTTCCTTGCCATCATTCTTCTTGGCAAACAATATATTTTATCATACACTCGGCATTGCCCAACAAGAAAGAAAAAAGAAAAGAAAGAAAAAGAGGAAGGAAGGAATAAAGAGCAGGAATCTTAGGACGTCTGTACTTCATAACTGACAGGGCAGATCTTTTTCAGAAAAGGAGTGGGAGGTAGGGCATTTAGGCACAAAAAGGAGTTGGGCCAACAACTAGAAATAGAGGAACATGAAGAATTGATGACATTTCAGGGAGAACTGACAGGAATAATAGGCATGAGTCTATCAGTCTCTAGCATCATAAAAGAGTCATCAAAGCCTTCAAGTAAAATCCCAACCCACTGTACAAATGAAATAAACATTTCTTCAAGGGGGTGGCATCCCTCTGATTGAACACTTCCAGCAATGAGAAATGCCCAAGTTTTGGAAATCAGAACTTTGGAGGTGTATGTGAATGAGGTTCCTTTATTTTTTTCAATTTTATTATTTTTCTTTCTTTCTCTTTGAGACAGGGTCTCACTCTGTTGCCCAGGCTGGAGTGCAGTGGTACAATCTCTGCTCACTGCAACCTCCGCCTCCCGGATTCAAGCGATTCTCCCACCTCAGTCTCCCGAATAGCTGGGATTACCGGCACACACCACCACGCCTAGCTAATTTTTTGTATTTTTAGTGGAGACGGCTTTCACCATGTTGGTCAGGCTGGTCTCAAACTCCTGGCCTTCTGCCAGCCGCCCTCCTCGGCCTCCCAAAGTGCTGAGATTACAGGCGGAAGCTACCGTGCCCGGCCCAATTCATTTTCAGTTCAACAAATATCTATATTTATATCTCAATAGCTAGTGAGTGTCTACTATGTGCCAGATGCTATAGACACTGGATTGTAAGCATGAATAATATAGACATAGCCCGCCTTTGTAGATCTTATAAAGAAGTACATGAACATGCAAGTAGAATAGGGGAAGTAGAGGGTGCTGCTCAAACACAGGGTGGGGCACTCAACAGAGAGCCCAGCATCTAGGAAGTCTTCACAAAACAGGCGGCGTCTAGGCTAGGGCTTTCTGAGGAGTTAGCTGAGGGCAGGGTGGAGGGGACCAAGGGAGTAGGAGGCTTCCCAGCTTCCAAAGAAGTTAAGAGTGTTGCAAAAAGGTGGAGTCCAGATCTTGAAGGGCCTTTACAGCCATGCTGGGGAGAGTGGGCTTAATTCCGGGGACATGTGAAGCGCCCTCCTTCTGCTGCGCTGGGGGAGATGCCGCTGTATCCGGGGGTGGTGGGAAGGAGGCCAGGATCCGCGATGGGAAGACGGAGATAGGAAGGCCCTGGTGGCTCAAGAGATAACCAAAAGTGAAGCCTCCTCTATGACAAGATCGAGACAAAAATAAAGGAATACAGTTCTGAATGCGGTGGGAGAGTCTCCTCCGTCCTCCCTCACTTTTGCTGGGCAGGAACCAAAGCGGCTTGTCCTCGGTTTGCCCCATCACCGACGGGTGTGGTTGGGGGCACAGCTCTTCGCCCTTCTTCCAAGATAGTAAAACTGAGGCCCAGGGTCCGAGGCAGAAATCAACGTTTTCTCCTCGAAATGGCCTCCCAAGAGGTTGCCCGGGGTCTCACACGATCCTTCGAGGGTCCTGCAGCCTGCCCTACTTCTCCGCCAGCCATCCCCGGCGGGTCGTCTTTGCTATGGAAACGGTCCTCCCGCCCTGCTCCGCGCCTCCGTGTCTTCAGTGCACCCTGGGAAATGCAGTCCCGCTCTGTTTGCCTGCCCGCGGCGTGAGCCCACTCCGCGTACTTAAAGAACTACAAGTCCCAGAAGCCTGTGCGAAACTCCGGCGGTCTCTGGGGGTTGTGGTCTTGAAGGAGAGACCCAGGAACCAGCGGGAGGGGCCGGAGGGAGATGAAACGACGCCCCCAATGGGCAGCCTCCTGGGCGGGGCCCGGGTCACCATTGGCTTCGGCGGCACGAGGGAGGTGGGGTCAGAGGAATGAAGCGCGGAGCTGTTCGCTGCACCAGGTGCTGAGTCTGAGGGAGGCTCCGGACGCGAGAGTCGCGAGAGCCGCAGCAGCTGCAGCCGCTTCAGATCCGAGGCCGGGAGCCCGGGCTGTGAGGAGCCGGGAGGAGCAGGGTGCGCTGCCGGACGCTGACCGCCCGCCCGCCCGCCGTCAGAGGTCGGTGTTGCTGCATTCGCTTTTGTTTTCTTGGGGAGGGGGCGAACCAAGGTGTGAGGGGCTCGGGGAGTTGACGGGATGTATTCTCGCTACTCTCAGGACCGTGGGTCCGGGACAACCGCCGACTGACTCGGGTCCTCCCTTGGCCAGGCGCCGGAGGTCGGAGCAGCTTGGGTTAGTTTTTGTTTTATCATGGAGAAAGCTCTTGGGTATGAGGGGCGAGGGCTGGGGGATACCCCCACCCCATCTCTCCTGGGAGAGCGAGGAGGCTTGGACCCTCCCCCCCTCTGTGCCTAGCGACCCGGCTGCTCGGATTACTGAGGACGGAAGGGGGTGTTAAGGGATGAGGGGACTGGAGGCAGGGGGACCCCTCCCCGCAACACTTCGGCTGCTCGAGGTTACAAAGGAGTCTGACGGTGATGGATGAGGCCGCTAACCGCTCCCCCAGCCCAGGCCCTCCCAGGGTTATTAAGGGCTGCTTGGGATGGAGGGAAGACCCTTCCCCAGCCCCCTTCCTCCACATTCGTCCTCCTCCCTATCTCCCCTCCTCCCCAGGCCCCCTCCTCCCCAGGCCCCCTCCTCCCCAGGCCCTAGGGTTTTGTAAAGAGGAGGATCGAGGTTGTGGATGAGACAGAGGACTCTTACCCCTCCCACTTGGACCCTCCTAGGTTATTGGTCGGGGGTGGAATTGGGATGTGACAGGGAAAGGCCGGGAGACCCCCTCCCTATCTGCTCAGAGTCGCGGGTGGAGGAAAGCACTGACACGCGGAATCCCCCGCGCCTGGGGTTGGGGTGGCCTGGGTGTGGGAGGTGGTGTGGGGAGGTGCACGAGGGGCCGAGGGACCCCTCCCACCTTTCCCCACCAGGGCCTTATCTCCCAGGCCGTCCTTACCTGGATCCAGGCCTGGGGCTCTAAGTCGAGACGGCCCTCCCTAGCCCACCACGCCCCGGGGACCGAGGCTCCGGCGCCGCAGCTGGGGGCCAACCCTAGACGGGCACGTGCAGGGCGGGACGGGGCGGGTCTCTCCTCCAGCACTCTAGAGCTCCAGGCAGGCGCTACCCTCAACCTCGCGCCCACGAATCTTTAGGGGCTGCTTTGCTCCGATGCAGGGCGCGTCCCAAACCGTGCCTTGGGGACCGGCATCCAGGACGCGCGGTGGCTGTTCCTAGGCACTGGGCTTTCGCGCTCCGCCCAGGCATCCTCGAGAGGACAAAGCAGCGGTTGCCGCACTGGCAGGCCTGCGCCGCGGGCTGGGCGGGGGGCGAGGCCGCGGATGGGCGGGGGGGGGGGGGGGGGGGGGGGCTTCGGGCGCGGCGCCGGCAGCTTCCACGGAAACGTGCCAGGAGCGGGGCGGGAGACAAAGCGCACCGGCTCCTCGCAGGCTCGCGCGAGCCGGGATGGAAAATCCCGAGGGAGGAGGCGGCTTAGCCGGGGCAGGGCGCTATGCCCCATATCTTTCTGTTTTCCCATACCCCCTACCCCAAGGCCAGCTAGGCACCCAGGATTCTTTACACACGATGGTGACCAGGTTCCCTTCGGGGGTGGGCGGGGGGCCTTCAGGACCTGTGACCACGAGGACAGGGAGAGATGGGGGCTCCACCTTGAGTGAAGGGCCTGGGTTCAGGGGGCATGAGTAGACCAGGGACATCCTGACTAGACCCTCTCATGCTGCATCAGCCACGTTAGGTAAAATTTGGTTCTGGGGCGGGATGTCTTTAAGTGTTTACATGGATGATGGTGTGGGTCAGAGTGTGGGCGTGAATGTGTGTGACTGGGTGAATTTACCCATGTGTGCTTCAGTGTTCATGTGTGTGGCATGGCCAGGGCTTGTGTTTCTGGCTCTGTGTGTGTACACCAGGGTGTGTGTGTGTGTGTGTGTGTGTGTGTGTGTGTGTGTAGAGGAACCACTTAATTACTGTTGGACTTGGATGTTGTGGGGGTGGGGAGCAGGGTAGTCACATCTTCAACTCTCAAGCCACAGTAATGACCTAGGGTCCAAGTGGCTTCCCTCAGAGTTAAGGCAGCTTCAGGCTGCTTTGTGCCTAGCCTGCCTGGCCTGCCTAAGTCCCAGTAAATGGGGAATTCACAAGTGTGCGGAGCCTTCTTCAGCCCTTCTGAGGTCTCGGGTCTGACCCTAATATACTCACTAGTGCCCTGCCTTTCCCATTTCTCAGAAGCTTTATCCTACTGTAATGGGCTGCCCCAAGGACCAGAATTCCACCCCCTCACCACCACCATGTGCTTCCAAGTGAGGTTTGGCAGGGGACTCATCAACAGTCGCTTATGATGTGGGTGCAAGGCTATGTGGCAAGGCAACTTTTGTCACTTTGGCCTCCACGTCTGGAAGGGCATGGCACTGATGTTGCTGGTCAGTCACAGGTGGTGTCTCAGAAATACCAGGTACACTCAGAGGACACAAGGGTAAAACAAACATACGCTACAAGGTGATACCCCTAGAGGATGAGCCTGGCCCTCCTAGGCCTGCCCTCCCCAACAAGTGACCCCAATTTCACAGCACTTGTATAGCAAAGGTACTGTGTAGCTTTGAGATAATCTTCACAGAGAGCTACTTCCTGTAGGATGAGAGGCCAGACGATGGCCAGTGGTACAGCAGGAAGGGTAGCTACCACACAGTGTAGCCACCATCTATCTAGCCCAGCCTGCCTGGTCCAGTTCCCACAAGTATCCACTGCCAGTCTCCACAGCGACCTCTGCTGGGAAGAAGTTATACTACACACAATTTGACAACTAACATTCCCCCACGGTGTGGAGGCCCAGAGTGGGTGTGGGCATTTTTAGGTAAAATCACAAATCTTTCTGTTGGGGAGCTCCCTCCTACCTTTAGTCTTGAGTTGATGTCCTTGTCTGAAGTTCTTTCAAGCTAGTTCAAGCCATGGAATTGCTGCTGTCTTCACCTCTATGGAAATGTTTAAAGAGGGCTTGAAAGCCTTTGTTCAAGTTTCTGACCAGTTGAAGGTGGGCATCAAACCCATTTATGAGGACAATACATGAAAAACCTTGATAAGTGCTTTGCGTGCATTGTCCTCATAAATGGGTTTGGCGCCCACCTTCAACTGGTCAGAACCTCATAAAAGTCAGAAGTTTACGCATATCCTTTCTCTCCCTCTACCTCTACTGCTCTCTTCTCCTTTTTTCCTGTTCCACATTTATCCTCTTCTCTCCCTCATTATTAAATGTCAATAACATTTTTCAAAGACAAGCCCTCTTTTCCTCAAAAACAATGTAGCCCAGAAAATGAAGACATCTGGAGGCTATTACTAAGTGCAAAAAGCTGCAAATACAGCTCTTCCAGGCCTAATGACAGAAGTGGGGGAGAGAGATGAGACATGCTCAGTCCTAAATGCCTATCTGGTGACATGTGTCTCTTCTCCTGGAGTTACTCTGAAGGAATTTCATGCAGTCACAAAATCTTTAGAGCTCCCCAAAGGAAAGAAGGTATTTTAATACCTGGTATTGTTCTTACTTTGGCATCCACGTGATTTGCATTGAACTACGTGACTCAGTATCATAAAGTAAAAATAGGACTTAATCTCTTCCTTGCCTGTTTGAAAGGTGACTGCATGTGGTGTGTTGTGTTCTGCATTGGAGTGAAAAGCTAAATTACCTCATAAATTGGACCACCTGCTTATCCTGATCAAAATGGTGCTTAACATCACCTGCAGGCAATATCACTATTTTATGTTTCTTTTAATTCATACCTGAATCGTCATCTTGTAAAACATTTCCTCATGCTCTTACATTATTACTTTCACTTGAAGTTAATCAAGAATGTTTAATCCTTGACTGAAGCCAAGCAAATTAAATATCAGCAGATTCAGGAAGATGTGGGTGGTGTTTCTGTTCTTTTTGGGCTCAAAACAATTCTTTGAGTTCATAGGAAAGAAGGAAAAGGCCCTAAGATTTGGTGTGTAAGTGGCAGCATGCATGCTGGAAATGAGACTGCAGTCCCTGGACTTCCTAAATCGTTGCAGTAATGTAGCCTTTCTCCAACAATTTCCCAAGACCCTCCTGTTCCCTGAGACAGCCGGCTGGATCGCCGGAAAGTGGAGCTGTCCAAGGTTCTGGAGCGCTGGTCTCGCCTACCTCCCTCTGCTGGGAAGGGAGGACTTCAGGGTGTGGACCAGAAGCAAGAGCTGAGGGCCATGGCCTCTGTGAGGATTTCCCCAAAGCTGATTACAGATGGAATAGGAGGAAACAGAACTGTGGAGGGTATTACTGCATTACTTTGAACGAACTCATCAGCAATCCCTGTTTAAAGAATTATGAGCTAATAAGAGGAAACATTTTCTGACTCAGGCTCTTCACATGTAAGAATGTATTTAATTCTCACAGTCCTATGAGGTAGGTGGTGGCATAATTCTCACTTTCAAGGTGAGGAAACAAAGCTTTGAGCAGAAAAGGGCTTTCCCAACGTTACACAGAAAGGAAAGAATTTAGGTTCCATCCTGGATCTCTTAAACTCTGGAAGTTCCTCCTTACCACTGTTTTTTCCCTATTGCTATTATAGAAATAAAATTGAACTACTGGGTTGTCCTATGTAAGGTTATAACCAAATGCCAGAGGAATGGGATTGGGGACCAACTAGGATTTAGACCCAAATCAGTCTTTTCAATTTCAGCAAGGATAGTGCCACCTACTTTACATCTTTTCCAGGTTTGTTAACTGAACTTGGTTACCGAAGAATGGGGAAAGGGCAGTATAATGACCCTAATGACCAGTAGCCCAGAGGTTTCTTGGTAGAGTGGAAAATTTTCACAGGAAGCCAAGCATAGATGGCAACGAAGTGTTGTCGTTGTTTTTCCTTTTTAAGAAAGGAAGAGGATAAAACACCATGAGAAAGCTGTTATTATATGACAAAAAGAACACATAGAGCCAAAGAAATAGAGCTTATCTTTATTTCCTAGCATACTGTTCCAAAGCTGAAGATAGTCAGATATTGTTAAGAGATTCCTTCCACCTATTCCCACTCTCAGATTTT